AGCCCGATGAGGGGCTCGATCCCAGGACCCCGGGATCATGACCTGAGCCGAAGGCAGACGCTTAACGACTGAGCCACCCAGGCACCCCATGAAAAGACCTCCTTAAGGTCAAGATGAATTTATAAAATTAAGTTCTGAGGTGCCTGGGTGGCTGTGAGTTAAGTATATGCCTTCAGCTCAGTTCATGATCTCAGGATCCTGGGATCGAGCCCCACTTCTCCTTCTCCCTCTGCCCCCACCCCATCGCTTGTGAGCGCACACTCTCTCAAATAAATAATCTTAAAAAAATTAAATCCTGCTTTACTTCCTAAAATATTATGTAAAGAGATTTATACTTACTTCTGGTGGTGGTTCCTGATCATTCTTCCATGACGCATCCGATCCCCTATCCCTAGAAAGAGAAAGTTAAAAGAAAACATGAAGTACTTAAGATTCTGTGTTTATAACTCAGTAGTATAGAAAGTAAGTAGAAGACATGGGCTCAATCCTTAATTTTATAATATACATGAAAATAAGAGCAAAAAATAAACGACCATGTATATGTTCTTCACCTTGTTTCAGAAGATGTGGGAAGCTCCTAAGAAAAACACAAAATCTGGACACATATAAAATATTAGGACTGGGGGAATGAGAATGAGAAGCCAAGACTATGGTGTGCAGAGGAAAGTGGCTTTGCAGTTCATAAGCATCTCTAGATGCTATGACTTTGATACTTTCATGATACCTGAGCTCAGTTCATAAAGCTCACCTCAACAAATGCTTATTCTACACCAACTATAGGTCAGACACACTGTTTCAGGTGCTAAGGACACAAAAATGACCAGGAGGCATTCCCTTAAGATTTACAGGTTTAACGGTAGAGGTAACAACATGAAATTCTTCTTCCTCTATTTACCTGAGGAATATCAACAATATTCCATGAGTAACCAAAGCTTATTCCAACAGTATTCCTCAAAGCAGAGAGGGTGGAATAAAAGCTATCTCATTTGGTAAGGAGAAAGAATTCTGAAGAGTCTGAAAGACAGTATAATCACAAGCACTAACTACTTTTAGTGGAAAGTTTTATACTCTACAATCAACAAAAATACATATATTATTAAGTATGACTATGATTTCTGAAAGCTCACCTTTATCTCTTTAATCTTTTTGATTTTGTAAGTTTGACAGTATCTTGTTACTCAGTTACATTAAAATATTATAAAATATTAGGAGTAGACGTTGTCCTCACTGCTTTAAACTAGATCCCAAAAACAAATGAGATTCTCAGGATTTAATTCATTAAAATCATTAATATATTAAACCACAATCCATAAAAACCAATGTACAGATGTCAGTGGGCTGGCAAAATAGGAATATCATTAAGTCTCCTCTAAAATTTTGATTCAGAACTTTTGACACTGTACATGGGGCATTATCAATGATTTTTCTACCATTAAAAAAAAAAAAGCTTACTCGTTAATGATCAGTTTACACCTATGCATTTAACACAGCTCCAATACTCCTTTTTGCATATATGCCATCACACGGCCTATGGGGTTTAAAGACATAAATGGGGAAAGTTCCCCAATAGCGCATTTACCACAGAAAATCAAAATCTACTAAAGAAGAGATCAAACAACATTTCAAAAAGCACTTTCAACAAGAGTAAGTTCATGGGAAGCTAAAATTAAAATAGCCTTACAAGAGGTGGATAAACTAGAGGAGGTGACCTTCTCTACCTCAAAGGCAAAGTACTCTACTGAGTGCCCATGCAGACACCAAATTGCAGTCTAGAATAAAAAAAAAACTTTGTTAAATGGGGCTTCTGCTGGGTGGGCCTAATTTCGCAATTTAGTTTATTGTTTCTTTCCAGGAAAAAACTCTTATTCTTGCAAATCAAGAACACAGACTTCTCTTGTTTAAAATCTATTTAATAAATGTCTTTAGAGAAGCTTTTCAAGTTTATGTTTTAAGCTAAAATATTTTTGTTAAAAGCCGAAAAATCACATATCCACAGCAACATCCTAATATTTAGAGCAGAATGAAATGCCACCTATTTAAGGCATGATTTTAAAACACGATTTTTCTATTTAATTTACCTTTCTTTTCAGCGGTTACTTAGAAAAATCAACCTTACCAACCTGAAGAACTTAGGCAAAATGTTCCTCAGATAATTATGTGGATTCTTAAGCATGAGTTTAATGAATTATGATAAATGAAATTCAGAGACTTGATTTAATATATAAGTGCTTTAGAGATTTTACACCATGCAATGGGGACTAGTACTTTTGAGGTAGCAGTAAGGCTACTCATTGACTGAAGTTCCCCTCTCTGTTCTGCAAAAAACACATTCCTACTGCTTCAACTACACTTCAAGTTTCCCATCAAAAGACAGCTAGACCTAAAAGGGAGTTGTGTGTCAAACTGAGTGCAAAATCTTTTTAGATCCCCACCCTTCCCTCTATCTTTCTTAGTGTTTCTTCCACTCCTACTAATTTTACAGTATTTTTAGTGGCTCATATTCATTACATCTTTCCAAAGCATTCAACTTTTTTTTTTCCTGAAAAAACTATTCTACTTGAACCATATACCACTGATTTACCAAAAATAAATTATATGATTATAATAACAAGTTCAACTGATATAAGCAGCTTTACAGCTAACACTTAGCAACACAAATAATACATGGAAAATGCACAATTAATGAGTAGCATAAACATGCAGAAATATTACTACCCACATGTCACAGGCATCATTTAGCATCCACAAAATGGAAAGCAGTAGTTTGTTGGTTAAATCAACCCTGTTTAGGGGCGCCTGGGTGGCTCAGTCGGTTAAACGTCTGTCTTCGGCTCAGGTCATGATCCCATGGTCCCGGGATCGAGCTCCACATAGGGCTCCCTACTCAGTGGGGAGTCTGCTTCTCCCTCTGCCCCTCTCCCTGGTTGCACGTGTGCTGCACATGCACCCTCCCCCCCCAAAAAAATAAATATAAATTTAAAAAAGAAAGAAAGAAAGAAAGAAAGAAAGAAAGAAAGAAAGAAAGAAAGAAAGAAAGAAAGAAAGAAAGAAAGAAATCAACCCTGTTTATCAACTTGATACACAACTTTTTAGGGGCATATTTTTGTTCTCTCTTCTATAAATTTACAATCTATAAGCAACCAGAAATTTATTAATTTTTTTTTCTTGAGAATTACCAAGTTTTATTAAACAGTTAAGCCTATAATGAAATCCAAGGAATAATTCTATTTAAAATGGAAAAGAATTCTTTTTAAGTGGTAATACTAATGCTGAAGTAGCATGTTTATAAAAAAAAAGGTATGTCATGGAAAAAAATATGAATTAGAATTCAGAAACTTTATATGGCCTAAATGTAGTCCTACTAGTTGATTATGTCATTTTGGGTAAAAGATAAAAATCATCTCTACCTATAAAATCTGGTAACAAATTGTAGCTTTCAGAGATGTTATTAGGAAAATAAATGAATGCTTTGGAACACAGATACTTAACAAGAAACTACCTTCACTGAAAATTATTCGTAAAATATAAATTAAATAAGCAGACAACAACTAACGTGTCAGTAACATACTTACTGTTTAAGTTTTTCTGTGAATATGTACTGAGTGAAGTCTTTCATTGATGGAGCAAAATACATAGTATCCTTTATTTTAATACCTTTACTCTCAATGTGCTCTGAAGAATTAAACCGTAACACATAAAATGGATGTGCGACAGGTCCAAATATCTCAAATATCTATAAAACAGAAGAAACGTAAAGACCTTTAATATGCAAAATAACAACTCAAAAAGTAATTTTTAAAAAATTGATAATTGTTATAACAAGGTAATTTTGTCATGTCAGAATAAAATTGTATTTATATTTAAGTCATTTTTGCATACTCACAGTCTTCATATTTTGATTATAAATGCATCAACTCATTCCAGATTTCCTTTTTATGAGAATTTAAAACAAGTGTAGCAAATCTGTTAATTGCTAAATTCAAATCATCTTGGTGGTGTATGAATTAGAGACAAATTATGAAGTTTTTTTTATCATTCCTCATTTAAGTTGTAAAGTATGAAGAATCACAATAGGTAACTTTTGAGAAATAAAATGCTGTCACTTGGAATCTTATAACACGAAACTTAAAAGCAAGCTTCTGCTTTAGTGGGTATTTAATCATTTCTGCTGTTTCCATACAGTGGTTAACATTTTTCATAAAATTAAACCACAACTGTTTCTAATTCAAAACTTAGAAAAGTAGATTTGAACTTGAAGTTGCTTATTTCTCAAAAACCAAAGAAGCTTATACAGCCTTTAACTTTTATATAAAGGAACTGCTTTTAGTACAGACACATTTTATTTCTGAAAATGTTTTGTGAATGATTAAAGGAAGTCTCTTGTTTTCAAACTCTTCTCAAATACCTAAATTCTTTGAAAAATGTTCTGATAGTAAATATATGTATGCTATAGAAACCAGACCATGACCAATGTCAGTGTTCAACTTTTCTAGTCTTCTAATTCTTTTCTTCTGAGACCACATTATAGTTTTGTATACTGTTCCCTTTTAAAAACTAAAGTTGCATTAAGTTTTTCCATGTTATAAATATTCTTCGTAAGTATAATTTCAGTAGCTATATCAATAACTCCTTTATAGATCTGGCATGATTTAACTTGTCTCATAAATAAGCACATTTAGGGAGCTTCCAATTTGTTCAATATATAATAAATGATGCCCTGATGAACATGCTTTTATGTAAATTTCTGTACTTCAGGTTTCCCAAAAATCTATTTGTAAGGGGTGGAATTATTGGAGCCAAGAGTATGATTATTATTAAAACTCTGGATATAAATTACTAAATAATTTTCCAAATAGCTTGGACCATTTTAAACCAAGTGTACTGAAAATGTCTGTTTTAGTACATTATCAGTTCTTCATTTTTGATAGTAAATATTCTCATTTCATTCTCTTTAAGTATACTATTCAGGATTTTTATTAATTTTCAGTGAGGCATAAAACAGTTCACCTATCAGGGTACCAATATTCTGAAGGCATGAGTACCCCGTACCCCCAAAACAACTAGTAGTATTCAATACAATTAAAATGCCAACATATTCTGAAGCAACACTAATAGCATAATTTTTTTTTAATTTTAAAAGAAAACAGCAAATTTGCTTTGAAGGATTTAGATACAAAGAGTAGACCTCGTAGACCTCTTCCAACTAGAACTGCAAAGGACAGAGGTATATACCGCAACATCACTCTTACTGGTTCACATTACATAAAGTAATGGATTATCTTGTCACTTTTTAAAAAGTCTTAAAACAATTCTTTTTTAAACTCCTTTGATAAATAGTGACAAATGTGATTCTTCAAGTTTGGACGGGGATAAAAAATTTGTTTAGAAAAATTTCCCATAAAGATATAATAATCACGGTTAGCAACCTGGTACATAAAGCTGTTCCCCAATGATTGGTTTCCTGGACGAAATAATTCCAGTTCCTAACTGAGAAATGATTTCACTAGAGAAATGCCTGAATAGCTTCAGGCTTACACAGAGACTGGTTTGAACTAAAATGTAAGTGACATTCAAAATGCCTTGATAAAATCAAAGCATACTTGGTTGACTATTCTTAAGATCTCAAGTGTTAATGAGCTATACCTAATGATAAAATCATTACAAGGTTTTAAGTAAAATAATTCCACATACAACAGGTAACAGGAAGCTACTCTAAGGAATCCATACATGTCTTACACCAAAACTGAGAAGTATTTATGCTCCTACCTCGAATAGCCATGGAACACTTGACTGAGTTGACATAAGCAATTTAGCTAATCCAGAGTTACAGAAAAAAAGGTTTAACAATATTTTAAATTACTATAAGCTAAAAAGTATAGATTTTAGATCGGCTAATACCTGAGAGCTAAACTCTGAAGAGCAACCTCAGACAAAGTAGGGGTCGGGCCAGCCCACTTCATCCCATAGTTTCATTAAACCTTGCATCCTGGCTCACTCTTCAGACCTGCCTTTGCGGATTCTGCAAGTTCCAAACTACCTGACTACAGATAAAAGGAAAGGAAGGAATATGGCTGAGACAACAGTGTAAGGAACAAAACTCAGGATAATAATGTCTTAAGATATTTACTTTAAGGTAGGCAAGAAGCTTTCCTTATACTTTAAGTAACAGTACATAACCCGTAGAAATACTCATAAAAATTTAATCCAACTAATGTTTTATACTTGCCCTGTCATTTGAAAGGTAGTTTTCAGTGTCTTTCCACTTGGCTCTAGCTTATAATACTTACCATCTCTTATTCAAAAGCAGTATCTTTCTGCTAAAAGACCTCAAAGGATTCTTGTCACACAGAGAGATCACAAACACACACCACTATCACATTATACAGATACAGCATAAGGTCTGTTAGGAAAAAAACTGACAAGCAGAGAAGTAAATTCATTCCCCCAAATTCTCATTCCATAGCATAATCTAGGCTTAGGTGTTCTGTATGCTCCATGGCCAAAGTTCTAGCAGCTGGAGACCAGCCTGAGTCAGCTGGCTAGACACGCGCAGAGAGCACTCCAAGAGAGAGAATAAGCTGCACTCTCCCATCTCCACACACACACATTATATACTTATTGGTTAGCCTAAGAGGGATGAAGTAATCCTAGTTTCTACAGGTAACGAGAAACAGATCAAAGACTCTCCAGGCCCAGGAATAATGGTGAAGACTGCAAATGGAGAGCCAAGATCTGCATACTTCTGCTCTGAGAACAGCCTTCAAAGAATGCCATTAACAAAGGCCTTATGGTTGTTCCAGCTGAGCCACTTTTTGGCTAACCTACCAAAAGGGGAAAGGGGGAAATGAACCCCTCACAGCCATTCAGAATTACCTCTTATCAATCACTTTACACTAATCACTGTGTGTTACTATTACTTCACAAGTTGCTGAGGGAGGAGAAAATAAACCACTGTATCAAAATAATACAGAATTTCAGAAAATCAACACATACTACCAACCAAGATTGTAGTATATTCTTTTTAAAAAAGATCAGTAAAAATTCCGGCCCAACTCTAACAAACACACTGAAAACTAATGAAAAACGAGTAAGTAATTCCTGTTATATAGGGATAATAAATTGCACAGGTTGGTCAATTTTTAAATCCCCTGATAAAGAGCTAAACATTCAAAATAAAAATTCATTCATCATTTATCAAGAGTAACTAATCATCATTAGGATTAAAGGGCAAAAGGCTGAAACACAAATCCAAGGTTACCTCCCTTAAATCAGTGGGTAAGGGGGAGGAAGGTGGAGGGAAATGCATCAGACATATTAACTAGGTTGTAAACTCAACTTTGTTCCTTTTTAAAACTCTGTGATTTTTGAGTAAATGGGGATAATTCCACTTGCTTGGAGTTTCAATGAATTTAAAAAGATACACAAAATATGTATCACTGTGGCTCATTATTATTGTTGAAGAGCAGAGGGAAAAGAAAAGATGTACAAAGGTTTGACACTGAAGGTAAAACTAAATCAGTATATAGATAAGATCTAAAACAGATTCAATTTCATTTTCTGGTCACTGGTTTGTTGAACTGATAGTCCCAACCCTCCCCACCCCTGCACCATTACTTTGGGGAATCATGTCAAGGCACTTAGATGTATAATGAAATATTTTTTAAAGGCTTGTCACTTCTTGAATTTACAAAGCTCTCTATGTAAAATTTAGAAGTAGATTTAATTTTTTCCTCTAGACTTATGTCACATAACTAAAGTTAGAGGCATAAATGTTACATTTTTATCTGACTCCTTCCAAAGTCAAATGACAAAAGAGCTGAATATTAACATTAGTCACAATTATAGAACTAAAAGTTCAGCTGTATTGGGGGATATAAGAAATGTGAATATTTAGAGGTTTTTAATTAGCAAAGTGTTGGGTATTTTGAAATTAAAATTGTCTCAGCTAGCTACTTAAAAAGACAACTGTCATGAATATCATAAATAAAAGGAATCATGGAAATTATCAGTTTCAAATGAGTTAGAAAACCAAGAAATAAGTTTCCATTCCCCGTTCTCCCCTCCCCCGTCTTCTACTACTTTCCGGAGGAGAGCGAAAAATGCTTTGCCTTTGTACCAGAGCAGAATACTGGTTTCTCCTAAAGTAGTATACATACCAATGGGCATGGAGAGCTACTCATGGCACAGTCATTGACTCATTTCCCATCCCTTTTCTCTCTCAACCTTCTCTGAGGTTAAGCCCCCTAGTCAATCTCTAACCACTTACAAAGGCACCAGCAGAACTCACTTGAAACAAAAAGACTGAGCTTAGGTATCTGAAAGGGAAAAAAGTACAGCACCATTCTTTAGGCATTAAAGTCTTTCTTCCCCTCACCAACTTTCTCAAGAATTGCCAAAATATATTAGCTCTAGACTCCCAATTAATTCTGTCACTGATTGCTCTGCCATCCTAAGTCACTCATTTCTTTTTGGTAAATTAGCCTGTCAATCTAAACAAAAAGAAAAACAAAACCAAAAAAGTACATAGGTGGTACAAGGTAGGCAGGACCCTGATAAAAATCTGACCTCTTTCTAATCTGTGTTAGAATGGGACAGTAGGAAATAGCATATAAAAGGGAAAATTATATGAATGACCCAATAATATAATTAAAAAGATATGCTTTTTTTTCTGATTAGATGTAAATTAATTGTATCTCCTAGAACAAAAACGAAGCCAACTATTAGTTATCTAGGAAAAGCTAAACCCCAAAAAGTGACTTCCCCAAAGACAGCAGCTGGTTTCTTATTTTTATTTGTTTTCAACACAGTACACATTTACTCAGCACTTAAAATTTACAAAGCACTGTACTCTGTAGTGGAGAATGCTGAGATGAATAAAACTACCCCTCCAGCCAAAAAAGAACACTTGGTTGGTACTTATATATATATAAATTTTTTTTTAAAGATTTTATTTACTTATTTGACAGAGACAGAGACAGCACAGATAGGCAGAGCGGCAGGCAGAGGGAGAGGGAGAAGCAGGCTCTCCGCAGACCAGGAAGCCCGACGTGGCGCTCAATCCCAGGACCCTGGGATCATGACCCGAGCCAAAGGCAGATGCTTAACCAACTGAGCCACCCAGGCGCCCCAGCTGGTATTTATATTTTTGATCTTAGAGGTTTTACATCCTCTGCCAACGGCTCAAAATTGCATTATTTACTGGGTAAAATGTGTAGTCTTCCATATTAAAGATGGACATGCCAAACTGTCCCATTCGAAAGATGTTATAAGGAACTTGACTTTTTGGTGAGTACACATACTCATAATTCCCCAGAATGTGCTTACAGTGACACTTTGTACCTATTGCTGAAATCTTTTTTCCCCTTTTTCTTTTTTCCACTCTAAAGATTCCACCTGAGGAAGCCAAAGTCTAAAAAGTTTTGAAAGCCCCTACTCAAAGGGACTCACAAACCAAAAAAAGGTTAAGAACTACTACACTGTAGTTGCTGCACTCAACTTTGAGTACCTGGAGATATTCGATATGAATACAGGCCCTCTACTTCACAACTTACCTGACAAACAGGAAAAAATTGTATACCAACAGACACAAAGTACTGAAAAAAATCAAGAATAAACACTTCAGAACTCTAGACTGCTCATCTACTAAAATTAATAAATTCTCTTTAGGACAGATACGGAAAGTCAGAAAAACCAATCCACAAAGAAACAGAATAATTATAAGATTTGAATATATTTTTTTTTACAAACCTTTCCTGCTGCCTGTCGATCGCTTTTAAAAATTACAGTTTCCTCATTAACCGGAGGTAGGTTAGTCACAGATTCAATTATTACTGAAAAATGAAACAAAGGAGATTATTCCAAGATTTAATCAGAAGATAATGTAAAATTTAAGTGGGAATTTTTAACTCCAACATAATTTAAAATGAAATTTAAGGTGAGATAATATACCTCAGTAACTGTTCCTCTTAAAACAACAGTCTTTATTATCAAGTGGCACAAGGAAAAAGAATCTACATATTTTTATTTAATACAAAATGCTACAACTCTAAGAAACAAAAACTAAAGTAAAATTCTCACAGAAAATTTTTATCACCCACTAAAAAGTCAATAAATTTAAGTCATGTACATTTTCCCAAGCAATTTTTACCCAAAAAAGTATAATCATATTTAGTCACAAAAACTGTTTTAGGAAAAATTAGTCTTCTTCCTCACTCTAGAAGTTCTTTTCTAGAAAGCACTGAGTACTTACTGATCTATGAAAAAGCTAAAGACTTCCCAAAAGCATCTGCCTCTGAATAGATGAAGATGATAGAACTCACAGTAATTATCATTCTCCCTCTCAAAATGCAACAGCATTATCCCACTCGTCTATCATAATCTCCAATTCCTGTATGGGCCACAAATGTTAAAACACCAAGCTACCATAGCAAAGAGAGAAAACAAACAACAGGCTCTTAGAAAATTAGAGCAACAACCAAGAATATGTGCCACATTACACAGGTAATGCCATGTCCACTTGAGAAATGAAATGTCAGTTCAGGTTATTAAAATTCATTTTAAAAATTTCAACTGTATCCAATTAATTACAACAGTTACTGCTTCTAAGTTCTGAACATACATGTGGAGTAACAGATCACAGGTCAACATTTTCTGAGTTAGATCTGTTTCTGGAACAAAGATGATGAGTAAGGATTAATAATGATAGTGAGCACTAACAGCATTCATTTTCAATCATTTCTCCTCCCTAATCCCCTTCCCAAGAATCAAATTACATGAAAATAAAAGATCACCTAATTCAATTCTCTCATTTTATGGAAAGATGAAAAAACAGGACTTAAGAGAGTAACATTATCACATGGCCAATTCCAGACCAAGTCATCACCAGAACCTAGAATAACCTAGATCCCTAGTTCCAATGGTCTTCCTTTAACAACACAACTACTGACTGTGTTTCCACAGCCTAAAAAAACCCATTCTTTTTTTAATTATGATTCTAGGTGGCAGTTGCAGGTAGCTGGATACAAATCAACCTGAAGTTTGTACCACACATTGATAAAAATTTCCAAAGCTATCAATAGTCAAAGTATCTTCTAGTACAAGATCCTTAAATTCATGAAATCTCTCTACTTCTACCTAGGTGGATAATATTTAACTAGCCTCTTGTATTTTCCAAATTAAATGAGAGAGAGAAAGAAAAATAAGCCAGCATAACTTGTAGAACAATTGCAGAGTACAAAGCCAAATCCTCTTTTTCTCCTGGGGTCTTATTTGAACTCACATATTTTTTGCTTCATGTATTAATACTTATTTTATTTTCTCTTTTGTAATTTGGTCCAAATCATGTGAGATATTTTAGGCTCTCAAAACAGGGTAGCAGGTGCTGATTTTCAGTCAATCTTTATTCCTAGCAGCTTGAGAATTTTGTTATTCTATTAGGGTGTGCTAGTCAAAACGATATCTTTAAAAAGCATTATCTTATGCATATTGTATGTTCACATTTTTTTCTTGATAAACATTTTGACCTTTATTTTTTCTATATACATCAAGTCTAATAAATGCTCAACTCACACTATGTGATGCCATAAGATAACTCAAATACCAGTAAATGTAATGACTCAAGAATCAGGTTAAGAGTTTTAATAATCATGATTTTTGTAAAAATAAATAAATGTTTCACTTTAATCAGAATTTTGACTAATAAATTGCAAAAGTACAAAATTATCTAAGTATAAACTTTTCAAAATATTGGTATGGACACTGTTAGAAAAAGGTCAAAAGTCCAATTTCTACCACTGACCCATTATACAACTAATCATAAGGGCAAGTGAGTTGGGTTTTTCTGTGTCCCTTAAGTCCTGTAAACTAAGAGGGCCGGTGGATAATCTAGGTCTTTTATCCAGTTGAAATATCCTTCGACTTTGTCAACTCTGAGTTCTACTTTCAGATGGATCTTACTATGAGAGCTAATGGTAGCTACGTGAACTTCAAGGCCTTTAGTACCTATCTCACAACCTGGGGCTAAAAGAAATCTATAATATCTAGTTCTCTTACAACCAACAGCTTTATATTTCATGAATCACAGAACTTTCTAATTTACATGTTTCTAAAATAAAAATCAAAGGCAGTAGGCAGAATAATGTTCCGCCCACCAAAAGACACCTACACCCTAATCCCTGAACCTATAAATATATTACCTTACATTAAAAAAAAAAAAAAGGATTTTTGCAGATGTGATTAAGGTTAAGGACCTTGAGATGGGGAGATTATTCTGGATTATGCATGTAGGCCCAACCTATGGAGTCCTTAAAAGCAAATAATCTTTCCAAGCTTTGGTCAGTGAGAGATGTGATGAAGGGGGAAGGGTCACAGGGAAGGTATACTACTGGCTTTGAAGATGAAGGAAGGAGTCCATAAGCCAAGGAATACAGGCAGCCTCTAGAAGCTGAAAGGGACAAGGAAATGGATTCTCCCCTAGAGCCTTCAGAAAGGAACTCAGCCCTGACGGACCTCTTGATTTTAGCCCAGTGAGACCCATATCAGACTTCTGTTCTACAAAACTATAAAACAATAAATCTGTGTTGTTTAAAGCCACTAAATTTGTAGCAACTTAATAGCAAAAAAAATTAATATACCAAATCAAAGACAATTCTGGAGAAATGTCAATAAAAGCAGACTTTGAATTTTAAAAAAGACACGGCATTTATGAGTTACATATATGAGTAAAAAATGAATTTATCTATTCAAACTTAACTATAAAATGAAGTATTATTACATATTTCACAGAAAATGCACTAGTCATAAAGTCTTTCATTTGATGAATGCATACTTGGATATAAGTAATTTTACTCATAAAATTATTTACATACCTAATTGCTCAATAATACTTGAAACCATCCCAAGAGGCTTTAATTCAATATCTTCAGGCAGAATAATAGTGAGTTCTTCAACAGAAGGTAGTTCCTATAATATAAAAAAAGCATTGATCTTCAACAACTAAAAAAAATAGGACATCATTTCCATTTAAAGTACTATAAACATTTCTGAAGATGTAACATTAAGCACTTATACCATCTCTTTGATGTGATCCTTTTTAGTGTCTGACAGTATTTCTTCTACTTCCAATATCTCCCCACATAAGTGATGCAACAGCATCTATACCTGAATCCAGCTAAACTAAGAACATGGACAAAAGTACCCAGATTTTTCCAACCATACTTGAATGAGACAAAAAAACCAAAAAACGCTATTACTGTTAAGGAATTCAAGGCAAAAAAAAAGGCATTTCACTTAAAGTGATTCCCAGAGAAATGATTCTACTGGTCACTACAATTTCTCCACAGAAGAAGAGTTCTCTCTCTTAGCTGTCTTAATTTGGTTAATTAATTTGACAGGGAATAAGTAGTTGAAAAGAGAAACAGCAATCTCTTCTGGGGCTGTTTGAAAAAGAGTAAATGTCTAGCTTCTTCAGGAAAAAAAATCTAGAATTCCTGGGAAACAGAACATAGGCTCCACCCGGAAAAGCTGTGAAGTGTTGCCTCGTATCTTCTTTCTCTATGTTAAAATCTAAATTCCTTTACGTTAAAAATTCCTCTTTTCTGACCCAGCTACTAACTATACCTCAGTTGCTATAGAAACTAGATGTTGAAGTAGAGACGAAGTTGAAGAGAAATCTAAGAATAAAACTGACCTTAGCCTTTAAACTAAACAAACAGAACTTTCTATTTTTGACCTTTGCCAAAAGACCATGATTAACTTTTATTTTATTTTATTTTTTTTTTAAAGATTTTATTTATTTATTTGACAGAGAAAGACACAGCGAGAGAGGGAACACAAACGGGGAGTGGGAGAGGGAGAAGCAGACTCCCTGCCGAACAGGGAGCCCGATGCGGGACTCGATCCCAGGACTCCAGGATCATGACCTGAGCCGAAGGCAGTCGCTTAACCAACTGAGCCACCCAGGCGCCCCCATGATTAACTTTTATTTTTTTTTATTTTTTTTTTTTTTCATTTGTGATAGTTATGTTTTATAATTTTTTTTTCCCCCCATGATTAACTTTTAGAAGGAAGTTCTTCCTTAAGAAGGCTTGAAAGTGTATGTTAGGAGTTGGTTGGGGAGGAGAAAGAGAACTTCTGAAGAAATGTTGAAAAAGATGGGAAAAGCCTAAACAATACAGTGTATTACAGATGAATGGATCATGGTAATCATTTTCCTCTTCAGGGACTCAAAGAAGGTTTTTAATAAACCATATAACCAGAGTTAAAGTATAACTTGCTTCTGGGAGATGCTATTTTCTGATCAAGAATTACTTACAAACAACCACACTAAAGGTCTCAACCAACTTCACGCAGAAGACTTAACCTCGCACGGTTAGTCTGGATGGGGTCGTGAGGAAATGACGGTTTTATATCAGACTTTTTCTGAGTACTTTTAGGGAGAGGACAACCACTTGTCATTTTTGCATATTAAATATGGATAGTTTTTCTTGGCAAGACCATGGTTTGAAAGTGGTCCATATGTGTATTAGAATAGAGAAGGGAGTACAGTTCTTAGAACTGGTAAAGAACATGTGACATGGGATAGCCTTGTTAAGAAGCTCTTAGCAAAAGAAATCCCACACCCAGTTAAATACAAGAATAGAGAACTATAATGTTGGGAGACTGCAGACAGGAGGGCTTTCCTGATATTTTAGAGAGCAAATCACACTGCCTTCTGCTTCCGGATGGGGTAGTAGGTCTTATAAGTAGTAAATGGCATTTTCTAATGCAGAAGTATAGTGATGAAATCTGAAATCTCCCCCACTGACTAACCAAATCACAGTTAAATCTAGAGCAAAAACTTTTCGTACTTTTGGACTGCGAGAGAGCCCACTGGTTAAATAAAGTCAGGATCATGTAGGTAGAACAAAGGAAAAGGAAGTCTCTAAGAGAAAGTGCTGTTAGATCTTTTGGGAAAACCTCTGAACTGAGGAGGAGGGTAAACCAAATACTGTTAACACTTAGAACATAAAATCAATGTTATTCTCAAATAAATAAATGCTATCTGGCCACAGAATGAAAAGCTCCTGTTTTGTATTTTCTATTAAGAGGAATAAAGTCCATGCAATATAATTATGTTTTGGTATAGGTTCAAATTCTGATACTGTTTTAATTTCTTTTAACTTTAAAATATAAAATACATGCTCCTGTTTTTTAAAGAAGAAAAAAAAAATTAGTAGTACCAAAGTACTCAGAGTAAAAAGCAAAAATTGCCCTGATTACTTTCAACCTCCCAATCCCTCTCCACAGAGAGCTGTTAACAGTTTATCCTTCAAATACATTTACCATGCAGATATAAACTTTACATTTCTAATTGTAAAACATTTTACTTATATCCACATTATAATGCAAGTTATCCTTTTTACCTATCATATTTTGTACATCTTTCTACACCAAAACATAAACATCTAATTTTTTAAACATTCTTACAGTATATCACACTGTATAACTGTAACTTAACACAAGTTACCTGATAAAACATCTGTCTCTTTTTAATTTTTATCATTACATACAATGATAAAATGAACTATCCTTCACATACATCTTCGTGTAACTTCTGTGATAAATCCCTGTAACTGGAACTGCTAGATCCAAAGATATGAACACTTTTGACAGATACTGTCAAGTTTCTTTTCAAAAAGGTTCCATCAATTAACAATTCCACAAATGATGACAGATTTTCTCACATTCATGCCATCACTGAGAAGCAAACTAAATCTTTGCCAGTGTGATAGGTCTATGATATAAAATAGCATCTTTTTTTATTTTACTTTCTTCATTAATCAGGAAGACTGTGCATCCTTGCATGTTTCCTGGCTATCCAATTGTGTTTATGAATTGTTTGTATATTTTACACATTTCTCTTTCAAAGGGTTTATCTTTTTATTAATTTATAAGAGAACTTTGGGTTAAAGAACATTCGCCCTTTATCAAATACAAAGAAAATACCCATTCCCTTTCCTCCCAGAATGGTTTTTAGTATTTAAGTTGCTTAATGAACTTCAGCATTTTAATTTTTATGTAGTCAAATATATCAAGCTTTTCTTTTTTTTGGCTTTTGAGACTTATGTCACAGAGAGAAAGACCTTCCCCATACCAAAATCACTTTTTAAATTCACTCATATTGGGGCGCCGGGGTGGCTCAGTCGTTAAGCGTCTGCCTTCGGCTCAGGTCATGATCCCAGGACCCCGGGATCGAGCCCCGCATCGGGCTCTCTGCTCGTCGGGAAGCCTGCTTCTCCCTCTCCCATTCCCCCTGCTTGTGTTCGCTCTCTCGCTGTGTCTCTCTCTGTCAAATAAATAAAATCTTTAAAAAAAAAAAAAAAAGTGACCGTCTATTCCTACTTGTGTTCCTATTTGTGTTTTTTTAAATCAGACTGCTGAATTTCATCTAATGCCTTTTCATCATCTTTTGAGATAATTATAACATAATTTACTGTAAGTTGAGCAGGTCAGCTCCAGGGTCTGATGAAATCCTGATGTTCTCCTCTTCTAAAGATGTCTATGAGACACATCTAGCAATGAGGAAGACAGGGGAAGATATACAATGCTAGAATATTTGTAGTGATGCAGGGACCCACTCTTGTGGTCAAAAGCAGAGTCTGCCAGTATAGTTATGTCAAGCAGTATATTTGCTTTGAAAATGGTGGACATTTTGGGGGTTGGATCAAAGAAGAAGAGATATATTTGTCCCTTTTAAACAAGCATGCTTTCCATGGGCTTTTCATAAAGATTTTTGTCAGGCTTGAAGAGGCAGAACTTCAGAAGGTTTAAAAGGAAAGTTCCTTGACTGCCATGTCAGACAGGACAGTATATGATCTTGTCTTGGTATCTGGATGTCAAATGTTACTTTCTCTTCCCTAACTATGAAAGCTGAAGTACTGCACCTCCACCAAGCCTAGTTACCTCTTTACTAAATTATCCTGATTTTCTTTTTCGTAAACATCTTACTGTCTAACATCCTATGTGTTTTCTTGCTTAAAGTTCATTTCCCTAACTATACAATAAATCCAACAATAAACAGGCTTTGGTCAGCCTTGCCCATTGCCATAGCACCCAGAACAATGACTAGCACATAGTAGGTGCTGAGCATATATTTATTAAATGACTTATCTCATCAGTCTGGGTTAAACAAAATTCTCAGAAGAGATCACAGTCTTTTTCAATCAGAGCAAAACCAGATAATGAAAATATAATTCCCAGAATTCAAGAGAATCCTCAAAGAACAGAAGTTAAAAAGGCAGGCTTCTAAGGAAGCTTCATTGCCCAGGACTAATGCATAGATATGTCAGATTTGCAGCAGCAAACATTATTACAATTATTAGACTAACACCTAGCTCCCTGATTACATAGCGGCTGTTCAGCAGCTGTTCCCGGTAAGATAACAAATAAATCTGCGCAGTCGCATAATCTCCTTTCAAGAAATAAAAATCCATCACTTTACTTTTCCATGAGTGGGGAAAGGATGTGTTACAGCAAAGAGGAAAAACAAACTCCAATAAGGGAAAAAAGAGTAGCCAGAACACACTGAAGGACATTACCACTCTTGACAGGACACACAGGATCTAAAGAATTAGAAGTAAAAGGCATACTGATGAAACTAAAACACTGAAGTTAGAGTTGATGAGGAAAACCTGGGATAGAAAGACCTTCTCCATCATATAAGCAAAATCCAAGTGTCCTGAAAATAAAAGACAAGAAGGCTATATTTACTGCAGGTAAGGAAGATTAAACTATAAGCCTGGATTACCCTATAACCCTCATGGAAAGATGGATAAGTGGGTAAGAAAGGCTCCTTTTATTCTGTTTATCCAATACCAGACACTAACTACATTTGATTATTTAAATTTCATTAATGAAAATTATGTAAAATTTAAAATGCAGTGTTTGATTGGACTAGCCACATTTCATATGCTCAACTGCTA